GCTTTTGAAATATCGCAAAAGACAGCTCTCACTTCTTTTCCATCATCAAGGGCTTTGCAAAATGTATTATATATAGAAACAAGTTGATTTGTTGTTGAGTCATTGGGAACAAACCCAGATTGTAATGAAGTTATTGTGTTATTAGCAACAAAGAAACTGAATATATGCTTATGTATAATTTTTTCTAAAGATTTGCTGATCGTGCTAAGAAGTGATATAGGTCTGTAATTAGAAACAATTAAGGGGTCACCTTTCTTGTAGACTGCACATACATTGGCAAGCTTCCGTTGTGAAGGGACTTTACAAGCTGTTAATGATTTTCTGAAAAGATGACAGAGAGGTACAGAGAGTTCTTCTGACAATTCCTTTAGTATCCTGTTGTTGATATTATCAGGTCCTGATGCTTTACCAACATTGAGAGTTTTAAGAGTATCACGTACCTCATCATAAGTTATATTTATTGTGTCAAGTTTATTAATATTTTGATGTACATGAAAGTTTGGTAAAGACTTATTTTTATCATCAAGTGAGGATTGTGATTGGAAAAATTGGTTAAGTAAATTTGCTTTTTCAGTGTCAGAAGTCAATATGGTGACATTATCATTCAAAATCTTAATTTTACTATTTACTGTTGGTTTAATGAATTGTTTGAGAATTTTCCAGTAATCTGTTGTTTTTAAATTTTCTCATTTTATTTTTTCTGATAATTGTTTAGTATAATCTGTTTTTGCATTTCTAAGTAGGTGAGTTGTTTTGTTTCTTAATGTTTTGTATTTGTTCCAGTGTTCAATATTATTTGATTTTTTAGCTCTGTCATATGCCCTTTTTCTTTTCCGTATATATTTTCTTATTTCATTATGCATCCAAGGAGGGTCTGTTTGTCTTATAGTAACTATTTTGTTTGGAATGTGTTTTTTTTTTTTTTTTTTGATAATGTAATCAAGGTTTCAGTAATATTACTAGCATAAGTATCGATATCGTCACTTTCAAGGGATTCCCAGTTATATGAAGCCGCTTCATGTCGCATATTATTAAAGTTGCATTGATCATATTTCCAGATAAGACGTTTAAATGATTTAGCATGTGACTTTTGACAGTAATTCACGTTACATAACTTGATGAAAAATATAATGATGAAGCAATTAAAAAATTCAACACCTTAATTCGAATTTAATAGCTATTGCATTAAATATTACTTATACTTAAAATTGATATTTTATAATACTGATATTTTTTTCTTTCTGAATGTAAAATAAACATATTTTAGTGCACACATGTAAGATATATTATCTTTACACACGATATCAGTAAACACAGTGTGAAACACGGTCCATAAAAGGCAATTTAAAAGAAAGACCAAATAACTTGACACTGTAAAATGCTTTTGCCAATAAAAACAAGTTTGAGTCTTGCAGCATCAAAATATTGTGTCACAAAGCGAATTAATTGAGAAAAGATAACAAAGGCATTATCATAAAATTATACTTCACGCCAGTTTAATGCACTGCATATTTATTGAAAGGTACAATGAATTATATTGTGATATTTTCAACTTAATATTTTTATATTTTTCATATTCTGCTTATTAGATAATGTAAAGAAAAAGATTTTTCTTCATTTAACGTATTTATAAACAAGGTCACAAACGTACACAGAAATTTCGTTAATAATTGAAAAATACTTATTTCTGTAACAACTGTGTTAATTAATACTAGTTGGAAGTCATTCTTTGGGATCAAATCAGTGAGACATGGCCAATGTCATAAAGCCCCTAGGAATATCATTTAGCTAAAGTCGGATCATAATTAAATAACTGGCATCTGATGTAATGTTATGCACCCGGTTGATTTATGATATCACGGCCCTGTGTCGCTTAATTGTAATTATAACATATGCACCCTGTTGATTGGCCCAGCGTCGCTTACAGATACAAATCTTTGTATTAATGAAATAATTTCTGTGACAGTAAAGATTATATTAATTTACATATTACTCTTAATCACATTTGCAAAATCTCTTTGAGTCAATTATAGTCAATTATTACCTGAAACTTTTATCCTTTTTCTACTTTTCTTAAAATCTTGGTACATTTTTCGCGAGTTTGGTTTTCTTGAAATATTTTGGTTTATCTGGAGGCATGCAACTTTAAAATGAATTATCATACTGAAACATGTGTTTATTTACATGTCTGTATATGTGATGTTTTGTAACGAAAGTTATTTAGATATATTGCCTGAACATTTGGGACGATTTGTAACTGGATTACGAACATCTGCACACAACCTAAGAATACAAACTGACAGATATGCTAGAAACAGAATACATACAATACAATAGAAATGAACGCTACTGCCAATGTTGTTCTTTAAAGCTGCATGCCTTCAGATGAGTCAAAATATTTCGATAAAATCAAACTTGAGAAATATGTACTACGACTTTAGGAAACATAAAATGGTTCAAGATTCAAGTAATATTTTACATGTTATGTGCAGTTAATGTCTGATTTTTTTTAATGTACAAATATTTTTCTACTGCGTTACTAACGCAGTAAGGTCTATTTATGCATATTTTGACCACTTTTTGGTAATTTACATGGCTTGTAAGTGCCTTTGATAATGTATAAATGGCTTCCTTTTGGTTATTTCACAATATAAAACATTCAAAAACATTTTCAATTTTTTTATGAAAATTAGCATGAATCTGGAGGCGTGCTGCTTTAAGAGACTTAGAAGACGAATTTCATTTTGATATTATATGCCCATGTTATACAAATATTCGTAGCCTTTATATTAAAGATATTATTTTGTTAACCCAAGTATGTACAAATTTATTGCATTGGTGCAAAGTAATAATAGAAATGAACTATGTAAATTAGCATTTTATTTCAAAAATGCTTTGACTGTTAGAACTTCACTATTAAATAATGTTCATTGATAGATCAAATTTTTTTTATTTTAAAGTTTTGATATTGATTTTCTTCCTTAAATATGTTAATTCTCACTTAACTGAGACTTAATAACAATCAACGTAAGTGTCATTTCAATTATTGATTTCTTTACATTGATTGCACTGAAAGTACATGTTACTTGAATATTATTATGTATGTGATTATGTACTATGTATAAATCCGAAATAAAAGTTCTGTTCTGTTTTGTGCTTGTTCAAAATGAACTAGCTACTTCTACCTTACTGATATATGATTTAGATACATGTATATTATCATAGAATTAATTGATTGCCAACTTGTATTGACCTTCGTTATATACCCATGGCATTATTATATATATTTAAACTATGCCGCATGTCACTCAATAATAATTTCCCCTATATTATAAAAACTTGATTATCACTTATTAGTGATGACGATAATGGTGATGACGACGATGATGATGGTGATGATGATAGACACTGCTTGTCTTAAACGATCCCGGCTTTTATAAATGTGATCCAGCTTGGATCTCTATATATCTAATACGATCCCGGCTTTTCTGAATATGACATGGCAGTGGACAAATCCCGGGATCTCTATATATCTAATACGATCCCGGCTTTTCTAAATGTGATATGGCAGACAGTCAATTCCCGGTATCTCTCTTTGTTAAATACGATCCCGGCTTTTCTGAATAGGACACGGCAGTGGTCAAATCCCGGGATCTCTATATATCTAATACAATCCCGGCTTTTCTAAATGTGATATGGTAGATCAAAGATATTCTAAAAATATTGTACAAGTATCGTAATGATTTTATAGAGAAAATGATAATTCGTTTGTTGTATTTTTTTAAAGGTACAATATATACTAATTTATTGATAGGATTAAAATGATTTGAACATTACAAGTCTGATTCTGTTTGACAAGTGGAAATCACTAAAAAAATAAAAGATTTATATCTAAGTAGGAAAATCAAAAGATTTATGTAAAAGGTCATCTTTTCCTGTGACGAATCAAACAAAATGTATTTAGATAAAATAAATAAAACCCGGCTTAATCTTACTTTACGTAGCAATCACACTTTGGTTCACCAGACAGGTGTCTCTACTATAATATTCATCATCATCATCTTCAGTAATCGCCTCACTCTTCATAGAGCATAATCGCGATGAAACTATGATATTATAAAAGGGCACTGTGTCATTTGCGTCAATATCTCGAAACCATCAAAACAAACTCCGTCAGAAAAAAGATACACAAGTCTACTTCATAATTTCTTTAAGAACACTGACATAAAATTACAAATGTAGGGGTTAATCATCAAATCGATAATTTACCAATGACACCTGCATTAATGATTTATGAAAATACATGTATATATCAATAAATGAATTGATTAACAACTTACATTTACTTTTTCTTATTAAAAAAATATCATATTATGATAAAAGTTTGGTAATATATGCATACATGTATATTAAACTTTTATCATGATGTTTATGATGGACACACCAACAGTCACGTGTTCAATAAGGGGCCCCGCAGCCTTGATAACCAATATACAATGACTTCCACTGCCAGTACATGTACTTCCAAAATAAGATTTTAGGTGTGTGACATTCTGAGGTCAATTAACTCTCTCATGTGTGAAAAAATACGTTAGCAGATTTTTTTTCATAACTTAGTACTACAAATCAAACTTATTCAAAAAGCTCTACAAAAACATTCAAATAATAATAATAATAATCTAAACTTTATTTCCGTACAAATTGTAGTATTTGTAGTACGGCTGTTATTAATTAAACGTTTTCATTATTAAACATATGAAATAACCAAATACAGTACCGAAAACCATTCAAATACAAAAATATATCATAGCCATCAACAAAAAAAAAACATCATTAAAATTTTCAACAAGCATATCACAAGATTGACAAGAATATCATTGACGAAATGCATGAGATAATCGATAATTTATCGTCGACACCGAGTCCCGGGATTACTATATGTTTAATACGATCCCGGATCCCGGCTTTTCTGTAGGCGATCCCGGGATTATCCCCCCACCCAACTTGAGTTTAGCTAATTCGTCAGTAGTTTAGTGCGACTACTGTTAATAGTAAACATCCGGTCAAAAATGTCCTCCTACAAAGCTCGGTAAGTAAAGTTAAAGATTTTGTCCCAATAACGCAGCATTTAACACCATATTATATCAATAATGATGTGATATTTTTATTTATAAAGTAATACATTCATTAATTATATTTAAACTTACTGTCATTTCAGAGTGGAGGAGTTTAAGTCGGTTCTTGAGGCGGAAGTGATTGATTTCAAAAAACTTAGAAAAATTGTTTTCAATGGTAAGACTTAACAAGCATGTTTTATATTCTATCTGGCTTTTAAAATGTTATACAAATTATCACAGAGAAAAATAGTCTTGATATCAGATACATTATTTTTTTTTATATAATTTGGAACAACTTGGCAATCAGCTTTGCCCACTGTCAGATTTCTCTTCTAGTTCTACTTGTTCTACATCTCCGGGCAATTTACTGTTTAGTGCAGACTTATTTAGTATTAAACGTGTCTCAGTCTGGATTACCTAACCCCCACCCCCCCCCCCCCCCCCCCCCGATTTTAATATTTTCTGTTGTCTTCAAAAGTTCTTGTATCTAGGCCTACTCATGTATACATTTATTACAGTCTACACTCAAATGCTGATTATGACATGGAGGTGATCATTTTCCCACTCTGACTTTTTTAGTGCAAACATGTTTTCTTTACAAGAGGTTTTTAAATAATAGGGAGGGTAAAGGCCTAACATAATACCAGCAGGTCCAGGAAGGTAGTGGTAGAGGGAGATGAATCCGAACCAGTCACAGTTCACTCTGGCTTGCCATAAGGTACAGTCCTCGGCCAGCTCCTCTGTCTTTGTCATATATATGATGTACCAGACTCAGTTAAGTCAACAGTACATTTATTTGCTGATGACTGCCTACTGTACTGAATGATAAAAAACAGCAAAAATCATTAAATTCTTCAGCAAGACCTCTGTCAGCTTGAAACATGGGCAAATAACTGGAGAATGCACTTTATGTGAAGAAATGCTACATAATGATACATTCTAGATTCTACCAGTTGGACAAACACATTCTTTAACATGTACCCAAATCAGCAAGATTACCTAGAAGGCAAAGTCAACCCTAGAATTTCTAAGAAGAAACCTGAAACACTGCCCTGAATCTTGTCGCTAAAAAGCATTTCAGTCTCTGGTACGCCCTACCCTTGAATACAGTTCAATCGTCTGAGATCCATACCTCCAGGACCGAAGGAAATCAAGCCAACAGACTGACAATGTTTTATAAGGTGGTCGGGGCTGGTGCCAGCCCTGCCAGCCCAAACCACAGATAAGCATTTAAAGCAGCATACCTCCAGATTCATGCTAATTTTTATGAAAATTTTGAAAATGTATTTAAAAGTAAAATATTGTGAAGTGAACAAAGAAAGTAATTTACACATTGCAAACGGCACTTACAATACAAGATCCTGATTCATTTTTCTAAAGATTAAATTTCTTGAAATATTTTGGCTCATCTGGAGGCTTGTCACTAATAGTTAGTAACTAAATTGAATTTTACACTGCTCATAACTCACTGTTGGCAGGTTTTTATTGTTTATAAAAAACATTTTAGAGATCTTTACGACTTGTTTTTGAAAAGAGATTGAATACAGTTTTTGTTTTTTTAATAGCATACCTGTTTTTATTATTCATAGGTTGTCCATTTGAAGCTGGATTGAGATCAAAATGCTGGAAGGTAATTATGTCTGATATTATGAGTTTCTGTGATGATTTTTTTAACTATTGCAGAAACTGAAAGTGATTAGATATACTTTTTATAGCTATTGCCACCTGCTCATCCATGCAGTCTGATCAAGCTTGAATTACTGTTGACTGAGCAACTTTAAATTTTCATCTTGATATCCCCATAGTGATAATGAACAGTAAAAAAATCAGAACAAATCTATTTAAGAAATTTAGAAGGCTATGGATTAATTTCAACTTTTGTTCTTTTTGTTAAAAAGTATATTAAATTTATAAATTAATTTTATACAAAAAAATATCATTCCTATTAGCAGAGGCCTCCTTTATACGTATGTATGTATGTGTATGCATAAGTGTTCACTGTGTAAACAAATATAACTTTTGATATTGCAATGAGATTTTAGCATCACTATTATAAAAGATTGTGTAAAACATTTACAGTTGCTGCTGTACTACTTACCAAAGAACAGATCAGACTGGGATACAGAACTTCTGAAACAAAGGTACTTTCTTAGTAACATTCTTACATAGAATTGAGGTCAAATCAGAATATATATGTAGTACTATACCAATACTAAATTTAAACATGGCATTTGATTTTTTTAGTGAAATAAGAAAGCAGATATAAAGATATCAAGTATGCCTAGTTTTGAATTATAGTAAGCAAGCTTCTTTGCTAACTCAATAATTGCTTTATTGTTTGAACTTTCCTGTACATTTACATGTATATTATATTGTTTGAACCAGTGATTCACATCTCATATGTACTACATTTAATACTGATGATGATAGAAAGCTTTGCCCTGTGCTCACTAAGATAACGGCACATAATTATGCCTCGGAAACAAATAAATCTTTACTTCTTTAGAAAGGGTGCACAAGAATTTTATGATGTTCAAATTATGGTTTTAGAGAACGTTAGATGCTTGTAACCTGAACAAACGTATCGATAAATGTGGAATCATTTGTCATAAAAGTAGTTATAATTAAACAAAGTAGTATTTTGACTTCCATACAAAATATAAATTCCCTATAACTGTACATGTACTTATTGCCTAAATGCAAATACCATACCAGACATGGGCATTTTACAGCTGATCTAAATATAGATCCTTATTTTGAGCCAATATTTTTCGTATTTGTTTTGTTTCTCATCCATTTTATCCCAAATTTTGTGTCTTTTCAAATCAGCAATATTTATATTTTGTTTATGTGCCATTTAATTCAAGCAAAACATGATTAAGTTAAGTTTGTATAAAACAATGAAAATAAAATCAGAAACATTTATATCCTGATTGTTATCGTTGCTTAGTGAACTTAGGACCTGGGTTATTGAGGATGATATCTTACTTACATGAATAACATGTAATTATATATATATATATATTATACCAGGGCTACATATGTTCAGTTTATTGATGAGATGATCATCAAACCGGGTACCGAGGCAACAGAGAATGGTGGGGTGTCTGATGTCACATTTGATGATCATGTAAGTTGAGGAATTAATTGTACAACTATATTTGACTTTCTTGTCGTTTTAGAGGAAAAAAATAGATAAAAATTCAAATTATTTATACAAGGGTTGGATAAAATTCTAATTTCTACCGTAGTAACACAGACATTATAGTTAGTTACATTGGATAATTCTCCAAACATGTTAAATTTATAATATTTATGGCTTTTATTTACATTTTATTGCAATACTGTAGAAAACCAAGTTAAGCAATTAATACACTATCAGAGATGTTAGCTCTATGCCAAACATTTCTAATCATTATTAACCTAATGTGATTAACATTTAATTTACTGAAATTATTATACAGTTTTCCGATGTTCTGCATTGGAGCACAAAACTTAAGCTACTGATAGTATAGAAATTATTTAAGCTGTACCAGGTGTGAGACATGATGTTTTTCATTTATCCTACTTTACCATGTTAAGTATCACTAGTCTAGGTTTTTGTTGTTTCTTTTCAGCCGTTGAACCCAAATCCAGAAAGTAAATGGAGGGCTTACTTTAAAGATAATGAAATGTTACTACAGATTGATAAAGATTGCAGGTATTTTATTTTTCTATAGATTTCCAATTAATTCTACAAATTAAATTGTTTGAGTTTTACAAAACATTAACACACAGAATTGCCCAATTAGAGTAGATACTACCAAATTTAATTTAAACAAAAGATCTTTGAAACTATTTTTTGTCATAAAGCAATGAATTAATCCAAGTTAAATTTTAGGTGTGAACTACCCCACCTGTTTTTTGGTTCTACCAGTTTTAAGATATTGAGTAGTATAGTTTCACATTCATACATACATGTACTTGCATCTTTTAACTACCATATAACTACATCATATAGCTTGCCTACCTGGTAGAGTGGATAAAATGTATTTATTTTGATTGCTTTAATTGTTACACAGGTTAAACTGGATTTCATTATTAATTAGTTGGCAATAACCTAACAAGAGTTTGACATATATTCTACAATAGGCCTTGTTTCTGAATGTAAGCTGTCCTCAAGTCATGTTAAATGGTTGAGGACGAATTCCATTACTGAATATATAGTTGTCAATCAGCAATAAAAAACATGCATGTTTCTCTCCTTGAACTCGATTTTCTCAATGCAATATTTATACACATAATACAACATCATCATACATAATCAGAGAGATCAAATAAAGATGTATACTATAAGATATAATAAATTGTTCTTTCTGTTTATTTGTTAAGAAGTCGATAATTTATTGTTATCTGGTTATAAATGGGGTTTTATTTTGTTGTTAAGTGTGTTATATAAATATTAGTTAACACTTGTTTGATGTATTTCAGGCGCCTTTGTCCCGACTTGAACTTCTTCCAGAGAGCAACAGATTACCCGTGCAATAGACTGTGTGGGGAGAATAGTTTCGAAACTTTGAGGAAACGTGTCGAGAATTCTGTGCTTCACTCGGAATCTGTGTCCCAAAATAGGCTAGGAATAACTAATGTATGACTTTAGACAACAACTTTGTTTATTTATACCTTAGACCTGTCAATTTTTGTCGCAGACAAAAGTCTTTTTTGATTTGAATAGGCTTATAAGATAGAAAGGCTTAAGTAAAATTATTGTGCAGAAAATTACTCAAAAGTGAACTCTTGTGAGAAAGTATATGTCCAGCATGCTCTGTCCATGAAGGTAGCAAGCATAACATTTTTCAACCATTCACATGTAAAAGTAAAGGCAAATAACATAACTCTAGTATGTATTTTAATTGAATTATAGCCCTTTCTGAAAAGTCTAGAATTATAGCCCTTTCTGAAAATTTCTAGTTAAATGTAACTAAGCAAGGTAAATATCCACAACAACTGAAGGTATTCATTTGATATTGTAGGCTACTGTCCAAGACCCATAATTCTAACACACATTTTTACTCAGTTATTCCAGATTGTAAAATATTCTTCATTTAGTTAGTATATTAATTGTTATTTGTGTAAACAAACAAAGTGATAACAATCTATGATATCAAATAACTAAAATATCATGGTACAATATTTTATGTTAAAGATGGCAACCAGTAGACGAAAGACGAGTGATGAATATATGCCTTTACCAGACGGTCAGGAAGCTCATTGGGAGGTGTGTGAGAGAATTCTGTTTGTGTATGCCAAACTTAACCCTGGTCTCGGTTATATACAGGTATGTGAACACTTCAAGATTAACCCTGGTCTTGGTTATATACAGGTATGTTAAAACTTCAAGTTTAACCCTGGTCACGGTTATATACAGGTATGTTAAAACTTCAAGCTTAACCCTGGTCTCGGTTATATACAGGTATGTTAAAACTTCAAGCTTAACCCTGGTCACGGTTATATACAGGTATGTTAAAACTTCAAGCTTAACCCTGGTCTCGGTTATATACAGGTATGTTAAAACTTCAAGTTTAACCCTGGTCACGGTTATATACAGGTATGTTAAAACTTCAAGCTTAACCCTGGTCTCGGTTATATACAGGTATGTTAAAACTTCAAGCTTAACCCTGGTCACGGTTATATACAGGTATGTTAGATCTTTCAAGTTGGCCAAATTTAACCCAGGTCTCCTTTATGTACAGGTATGTTAAAACTTCAAAGTTTAACCCTGGTATATGCCAAGTTTTACCCGTGACTTGATTATTGGCTTGGTTGCACAGGTGCAAACCCAGGTTACAAAATGGTGAATATTGGGTGGCGGGCCGATGGGCGGGGAAAATATAATCATAACAGTTTTCTGAGCAAATGCTAATTACAGCCTCTTGATATTTGGTATACAGTATCAACACTTGGTCCCATACTGTAGGATTCGATTTCAGGTCTGTCGTTCATCCACTTCCTGTTTACCGACTTAGTTAAATTTTCAACATTAATGGTGAATGGTAGGAATTTTTCGTAACAGTGTTCTACTACTTATGGTAAATAGAGGATATTTGTTTAGTTCAGTGTAAGATCGAAATATATTTCACCGAGTGAGTACCAAAAGGTATATTTCACGAGTGGCGCAGCCACGAATGAAATATGAACTTTTGGTGTTCACAAGGTGAAATATATTTCGATCTTACACTGAACTAAACAAATTTACTTTTTATTATATGCAAAGAAACATTTTAAAAAAACATTTTAACCCCATACTGAATGAAAAGCACGCCAAATAATAATACAACGTGACGTCATTTACGACGTCACATCATTAAGTTGGTACCCAGTACTGTGCAGGCTGGTAATTCACTGAAACAACATAAGGGGCTTAAATTCAAAACAGTGAAATTATCAAAGTTGTAATTTCACTGTTTCAAACAGTGAAATTACCAGTTTTAAATCACTGATATATTTCAATAAACCACCGAAAAGCATGTAATAAATAGAGGATATTGAATGAGTGTAAGTTCAATACTGAATTTATTGCACGAGTTGAATAAAATTATATTATGCGAGCCTCTGGCGAGCATAATATTATTTAATTCAACGAGTGCAATAAATTCAGTAATGAACTTACACAAATTTGATATTCTTTTTATCACATACCCAAAATGAAGACCGTTTAAAGTGAAATAAGAGTCATTTTTCATTGACGCGCCTATAGTATAACGTTAACATTTAGCGAGTCTTTACACTATGTTTGTATAACGCTAATGACGTCACGTCAAAATATATGCAGGGCCGTGCAATACCATATTTACGGAGTCGCAAAATAGGCACGGGTGTGTGATAAAGTCTTATATCGTGGGATTTGATTTCAGGTCTGTAGCTTATCCTCTTCCTGTTTACCAACTTAGTTAAATTTTCGACATTCATGGTCAATGGTAAACATTTTTTGTAACGTCACAGCCTCTTAATATTTGGTATACAAATGCAACCCTGCCTTTTCTGTCTTGATCCATTTTATATATTATAATATGACATTAAAATACATTAAATTAAGATATTGTATAGGAATATAACATAGCAGCAATACGAGGGGTGATCCAGAAATAACCGGACTAGGCGCATAGCTTAGAAATGGACAAAGAGTTAATCTTGAAAAGATATCTGACATTGATTTCAATTTAATGCATGACTCCTGAAAATTTCAATACATTATGGCAATAAACAACACTAATATACATAGAAACACACTATGTGTTCCGTGTGTGCTGGGGCAGTCATCCAACAAACGTTGACGGCGTTGACGTTACCCAAAGTTATTCTGACAGTCATTTTTCTATGTAATCACCGTTTACATCCACACACTTCTGATCTGGCACTGACTTTAGACATATTCAAATGTTCCGTGATCACTAGCTGTACAGTCCCGTAACTATATCCAGTAACATCACAAACATCTTGTATGGTTACACGCCTGTTGCTGAGAATGACGTCTTTGATTGTTTCAACAAACGTATAAAACCTTCTATTGAATCGTCTTCTAGAGATTGCCTGCCTTCACGGAATTGCCGATGCCATTCAAAAACTTGTGTTTTTGATACTATCTTTCCTGCAGATGACTTTTTTTTCATTTCATAAGTTTTTGTAGGTGAATAATCAATTTTGCACCAAAATTTAATAATTTTGCACTGTTCTGGATACTGATGTGAAGCCATTGTCAAGACACTAGCGGAGATGATGTCCAGTTTGTTGTTTGATAACGGACACATTATGACATTGAAACTTTGATAAAAAGACGTCAATGACGTTATGTCAAACTGATGTTAATTGGCTCCAAAATGCGAAGTTCGAACTATGTAGTCAAAATAAGCTACATGTATAAAATAGCAATTTGTGAATGAAAATTGTTTTTATGATTGAAAAAAAAAGCAATATTGTTTTATATTTTTATTTCAGAATTTTGAATTTGCATGCTTATTATATACAGTATATCTAATGAAAAGATACATTCTTATCTTTAAAATATATGTTATTCATATTATTTGTGTCTATTTTTTTCAGGGCATGAATGAGATTTTAGGGCCAATATATTATACATTTGCATCCGATTCAGATAAAGATTGTAAAGGTAATATATTCATATAGTTGAAATAAATACTGCTTACTATCTTAATAAAAGCCGTTTAACTTTATTTTAACATTTTTTTGTTCAACTAATTTATTTTCAAAGGAAGTGAAATGGTTTCCCCTACATTTTCTTGTTTTACAGACACATCTTGTTTTACCTAGTGCTGGCTTATGGTACAATGTAATTACATGTATATCTCTAGTCAAATTTAATTTTGGGGACACAATTTTTGACTGATTTGTGTTTTCATTCAACATATGCAGAGTTTATTGTTTTTTATATTAACTTGCTCCTTTAATATATTAAGAAAAATGAAATTGATAAAAAAAAATTTTTGAGTATTTTTGTGTTTATTTCTAATTTCAGAATTTGCAGAAGCAGATAGTTTCTTTTGTTTCACCACGTTAATGTCAGAGATTAGAGACAACTTTATTAAAACATTAGATGATTCACAATGTGGGATAGGTATAATGTTTGTTGTAATTTCAATAAGATATTATTATCTTATTGTATAGAAGTAATATAGATTTCCTTTTGTTGTATTTTCTGAAATAAATTTCTCATAGTGTATGTATTCTTGTGAACATTTCTAATTCTTAACACAAAAATCCAAATGTGTTAGGAGGAAAATACTACCCCATGTGGGATTTGATCACATCAAACATTTAAGTTATCATAAATATAATGTTTAAATGAAGATTTATCAGTATTGTAAGTTCCAAAAAGCATTATTTGTAAAGATTTTACTGAAATTACTTTTTCATGGTAATAAAGGGAGGTAATTATACCCCCACCACAAAATGTGGGGGGGGGCTATAATGGATTCGCTTTGTCATATATTAGACAGTATGTTGTGTCCACTCTGTAGGTCCTACAATAATTGAAAGATTTTCTTCAAACTTGGCTAAAATGTTCACCTCAACAAGGGGATATGCAGAACTCATGTTGCCCATGTGTCATTTTAAGGTCAAGGCCACAATTGAAGGTCAAATATCAAACAATCAAATATTTCACAATATTACATGTCCGCTCTGTAAGTCCTACTCTAATTGAAAGATTTTCTTCAAACTTGGCTCAAATGTTCATTTCAACAATGGGATGTGCAGAACCCATGTTGCTCATGTGTCAGCTCAAGGTCAAGGTCACAATTGAAGGTCAAATATCAAACAATCAAATATTACACAGTATGTCGTGTCCGCTCTGTAAGTCCTACACTTATGGAAAGATTTTCTTCAAACTTGGCTCAAATGTTCACCTCAACAAGGTTATGTGCAGAACCCATGTCACTCTTTTGCCGGCTTCAGGTCAAGGTCACACTTGAAGGTCAAAAATTTACTTAGAAAATATTCTTTAATTTTAACATATATCTGAATATTTCTGAATCTAGGAAAGGTATTTGCTTGAAACTTAAAATATAAATGAACTGTCACAATTAAGATATGCTGGTGAAGTTTCATAACTCTGTATTGCATTTTAACAAAGTTATGCCCCTTTTTAATCTTCAAATTTACATACAATCACATATTAGACAATATGTTGTGTCCGCTCTATAAATCCTATACTAATGGAAGAATTTTCTTCAAACTTTTCTCAAATGTTCACCTAAACAAGGTTATGTGCAGAATCTATGTCACCTTTGTGCAGACTAAAGGTCAAGGTCAGACTTGAAGGTCAAAAATTGACTTAGAAAATGTTCTTAGATTAAAACATGTTCTTGAATATTTCGGAAACTAGCATAGGTATTTGCTTGAAACTTAAAAGATATATGAGATGTCACAATTACAATATGCAGATCAAGTTTCATAACTCTGTATTGGATTTTGACAAAGTTATGCCCCTTTTTAAGTCTTTAAATTTACATACAATCAATACTAGACAATATGTTGTGTCCGCTCTATAAATTCTATACTAATGGAAGGATTTTCTTCAAACTTTACTCAAATGTTCACTCCAATTGGGCGATGTGCAGAACCCATCTTACCCTTGTGCCAGCTGAAGGTCAAGGCCACACTTGAAGGTCAAAAATTGACTTATAAAAAGTTTAGTATATTGGGAAAATGAAAGGTTATTTGTAACTGTTTCGAACATGATTTGATAATACATATTTTTACTATTACCTGTACAATTAGTCTTTTTTTCATCAGAGATAATTTCTTTTTATGTATTTGTGTCACTTAATTTATTCCCTTAACCACCTTTCCAAGTTGTCTTCTGTCAAGGACATTGGTAGGGGTATGAATCGCATTCAGCGATAGTTCTAGTTAGAAATTATTTTCTATAAAGTCTAAGTCAAATTTTCCAATAAGAAATAAGTGCATACATTTTAATGATTACATATAATGTGGACAAATATTTGCAGTACAACATATTTTACATTTTCTTCGATGTTCGAAAATCGTTTTAGAAGCATAATTATATACATATATAAATTTCACTTTAAGGTTTAACCTTAAATACACCATACAGGATCTTTAATACATGTTATATAACTATATATTTCAGGTAATTTAATGAATCAGTTAATGACCACATTAAAGGAGACCGACTCAACATTGTGGTATAAACTAAAGGAACAAGACTTGAAACCACAGTTCTATGCTTTCAGATGGCTAACACTTTTACTGTCTCAGGAATTTCCGTTGCCAGGTAACTGAATTATGACTGTATACCAGGTTTCTGAATTATGACTTTATGTGATGTTTTAAGTTGTTCTTTAAAGACACATGCCACCAGAAGTGTTATCATATTTTCAAAGTGAAAGTGAAGAAAAATGAGTAAAGAATTTTTTTTAAAAACTATGAATATATGTACGGCCTTTGTTTTTAATTCATATGTATCAGAACTTTATGTCTGTGTTAAATAGCTGATAAACACCATTCAGACTGATATTCTTTCTAAAAACCAAAAAAGAAAGCTCATAAGGTTAGGGGCATACAGTAGTATTTTGGCTAATGTTACTTCATGTGGAAAACATTTAGCTGAATTTATGAATAATTTTCTCTGACTAGGTTTTGAACATGTAAGAAAGCAATGCTTTTAGATGATTTTGACAGATTTACACCACAACCACTGTGTATTAATGATATCAAAGATAGACTGTGATTGTGTTTCAGCAGTTGGTAATTTATTTGATACATGATTCCTGTAGTAGAAACATGTGTTTTATATATAAAAAAATAGTAGTCTTTGGCAGCTCAAACTTATCTTATTTGGATTTTCTTATTTAGAATAGTTAAATAATGATATTTGGGATACAGTAAAACTGACCTTGGTATAAACTTATTCCCTGTAGCAATAGTAATAGCAGTATTTTTATATATTTACAGATGTGTTACGTATTTGGGACTCACTGTTTGCAGATGACAAGAGGTTTCATTTCCTGATCAAAATAGGATGTGCAATGTTACTGTAAGTCACATACAGTAAAACTGTTACTTAATGTCCAGTATAGAGATATTTTCAAACATTACCTTTTGTTGACTGGTTTTCTAGATATAGGATAATGTATTTTTGCATAGCAGTCTGGCATTTCTGTTAGTTTTACCCATACCGATGCCAGATGAGTCACATGCTATATAAAAACGTCATTTTAGGGCATTTTATGAATGGACGGCATTAATTAAAATTGCATCACTTTGGTGCATTTTAGAAGGGAACTATGGGCTTAGTATGACATCATTTTGCCGTTGTTATTAAAGTTGACAATTTCAAAGGCTATTGTAAGAAAATAATTATGTATGAATTGACATTAATTTCCATGTCCAAATATCTTGAGGTAAACCATTTTTAATATGTAAGAATATGGCAAAATATGCAAGAAAAAATACCTGACATATGTTTGAGGTTCAAATTGAAATAATCGCCCCTTGGGGTACCCTTCCGGGATGGATATTCCGATCCGACACCACAACATATGACAGATATTAAGATGTCCTAGACACAGGTTTGATTGCATATATATGTAGGAAAGATCAATCTGTTTAACTAATGGTCCATTGAACTGTGTTTTTGTGCGTTGCTTGGTCCTTTGAATTGTGTATTAAATTTTGTGGGTTCCTTGGGCTATGTTTAATAACCTTTGATTACTTCTGTGATGTAAAATTTGCTGTATTTTGCACTGTTTGTATAACTATATGATGTATAACATTTACATAATTTACAGGTTGTTAAAACAAGATTTACTCACGGGTGATTTTCCTCATAATATGAAACTTGTACAGGTAATTATAAAAAAACATTTTTGTCTCCTTACTGACAAATTTATAAATTCATCACCTACAGGAAGATTTTTTAAAAGGAATAAAAAAATTGTTTGTGTTCCCATTGTTGTTTAAAAATGCAGGGTTGGGTTTTTCAAAAGGGGTACGGGTTTTTTTAACAGGGAAGGCAGATACACTTGGGATAAATTTTGGGAAAGCATTTGAACAAAAAAAACCCATGCATGTTTTAAAATTACAATCGAAAAAAAAAAATTTAAAATCTATTTCCCCATTCAAACTTGCTAATAAAAAAGAGAATTGATAAAAATATGCTCAACTACATTGAGTGTAATAGTAATTTTCCTGACATCATCATTCATTGACGTCATATTTGATGACACATGGCTTGTGTGTTGATTTTTTTACCGTAACTTTACAAGATGTTTATGATGATTTGTAAATTACGAACTGTTAAGACATCAGAAAAAATGCTATGATGGTCTTACGTCAGTGTAACGAATGTTGTAAGGGATACGAGGCTTTCCAGAAATCCACCCCTGATCTCTCAATGAAAGAGATTTGGGTTCTTGTGCACTGTTAACTAATTGTCTGTGTAAATCTAATTCTGAGAAATAATCGGGAAAATGTTGATTTTATTGATACCAGTATAGAGTCAGACAAGCTCGATATTTTTGGGATGAAAAACTTCAATTTTGGGCCCCCAAAAATTGGGTTTAAATGGATTTTTCCCAAAGGAATAGAAGGGGGAAACATTGCCCAAATTTTGGGTTTTAAAAAAGGGTTTAAGGGTTAAGGGCCCTTTTAATTAAGATAATTGTAAAAAAGTGCAAAATTTTAAATCCCTTCGTGGGGGTTATTTTTTTGCCCAAAGGTTTTTCCCTGGGTTTATTTAATAAATCATTTTCTGGACATATTCACATAGAACCTTATGATTTTTGATTTAAAAGTAAAGGGGAAGGGGAGTGTCACCCTCAATACTTTTATAGATGTACTGGTACTCCACACAATGTTTTTTATTATAGTGTAAAAAACATGAATATACGGGTCAGTTGGTTTAACCCGGGCAAGGGGAAGAAAAAAAAAAAAGAAAATTTGTTTCTTTTTACGGGAATTTCCTATTTACTACCAAAAGATTGTGCGGGGTTTTGGGGTTTAAAAAAGGCAGTAGAAATCAGGTACATTGTGAGAAAAAAAAGAATTCAATATTTTTAAGGTTATATGGTCCAATATAAAGAGTTTTTAGCTGGTATAGTTTTAACACACATAAAAAACCCTTTTATTAAATATAATAATTTATAAATTCGCAACTGCAGTGTATATAAAAGGTATAAATGCAATGAAGGGTAAAAGAATATGAATGATTTCTAATATTTTATTTATATTTGATAAAAAGAAATGCATGTACCTTACTGGTATGCGTACTCTACAAAACAGTATTTAGAATCAGTCATATAACTATTTATAGCAGAGTGGTAGAAGTCACTCATTAATTTTTGGATGCTGTTAAGATTGAATCCCTGACCGGGACTTTTAGATTTTTTGAAGGAGGAACAGTGAGGAAGCTTCAAGCTAGCAAAACAGTTTGGGTTAGTCGTTCTACTCAGATACCTGCTTGTGCCGAAAATATTGCAATTAAGGTACTTGAGGTTTTCCTCGATGAGAAAGAGCTTGGGGAAAGGGTTGGGCCATATTACCTTTACTTTTCCTATGTAAGTTAAAACATAAGCAAACAAACCAAAAACAAAAAGAAGCAATGTTTCAGGAATAGTGTTGAAATCAAAGAAATATAAATTGTTAACTGCTTTTGCACTGAATTTATAATTATATTGCTACATGTAAAATAAATGTATTTCAAATATATTCTAATAAATGTTATTTTTCAGATGATAAAGAAGATAATGTTGGTTAATACTGGATATAATGGTGATACAAATGCTGCCACATTGCCATGTATTGCTCAAAGCATCAGTACTTCAACAAAATGCTTTCACAGGGCAAAATTACGCAAGAACTTTTTTTTATATTTTTCTATAAACTAGACCTTAATATATTATAAACTGAAAATAGAAACCATGTTACAACATGTTTTGAACCTAATCCTCTGTCACTGGTCAATTCAAATTTAATATATCCAATGAGATGCCAGTTTGAGACTGGTTTCATTATTCAAGTTTTATTCTATTGTCTTGTTCTATAAACTGTGATCTCGAGATTACCCAGTCTGCCATCTTGTATATACAGTGTTGATTGTAAACTATAATTGGACAGAACTAATTCTTCTTAAATTTTGATTTTACAAAATATATATTAGTAAATCATTAACTTGTAAAAAGTAATCAAAGCATAATTATGGTGATTTATTGATATAAGACTTTTTTTTTATAAGATATGTAATTGAATAGTTTGAAAATCAAGTTTTTGGGAACTAATTGATATTTATGTTATTAATTAATCAGTGCAATGATTGTTTTGTAATAATGAATTTACAACCCTGCACAACAGATTTGTAAGGGTCAACAGTCTGGTTTTTGTTTGTCCTGGGAATAACTCGTAAACTATTTGAGGTTAAACATCCAACTTCGTAGATTTGGGAAAAATCTCATTTTAGAAGGTTCTGCCTCACAAAGAACATTGTTACTTTCCCTTTCCCACATATAATAAAACCATTTGTTACATGCCTGACATTTCACATTTTGAGGAAAAGTGCATTAGTAATAAGCCAAATATTGTTGTTTTTTAAAAATTTTTAAGGGGCTTTTTTTGGGAATTTTTTTATGTTTAAAAATTTTATGAATAACCTAGGCCGATACTGGGTTGAAAATTTTTTCATTTGGGTTGGGGGGAAAATTTTGGGACGGAAAAAATTTTTTATAAATTAAATTTTTTCAAATTTGGGAAACCCCCAACCCAAAAAGTATTTCTTCTAAAGAAAATTTTTTTTAAGGGTCATGTGACAAAATTATAAAAGAAAATTGAAATTTTTTTACAAATTTGTTTTAACTTGTTAAGATCATGGGTTTTAAAAAAATTTTTGGTAATTCCCAATTTTTTTAAAAATGTCAGTTTTTGAATTAAAAAATGCTAATGCCTTTTTTCTCAGAAATGCCTTTTTAATTTTTTACTTATCAAAAGCACTGTTTTTTTTTCGTTTGGCCTTTTTAAAATGGGAGTGATTTTTTGTTTTTAAATAGAAATTTAAGATACTACTTTGTTTCCATTTTGCCTGATTAAACAGATTTTGTAAAGTTATCATATAATCAAATCATACAGCACCTAGTTGTCTCCCTTCCTCCCTGTTATTACTAAAATTTTTTAAAAAAATTTATTCTTTATTTGAGTTTTTTTCAAAAAATTATTTATCGGAAACAATGCTTACTTTGTTTTTTTTATTTTTTTTTACAATAATTATTTATTTGTATAGATTTTTAAAAGATGTTTCATATTTTGTTCTTTTTATCAAATGTTGATGAAAGGGGGATGAATGTTCATATGCAGACAAGGCCCCAAAAATTTTTAATGTGAATATATTTATTAATGTTTCTTTGAGAAATTTTTTTTAGTTTCTTATAGAAAACAAACAAGACTAAATCCTAAAGTCTGTTGTCTGTGGTTGTGCCCTAATTTTGTTCCTAGAGCCATCCAGGGGCCCCCAGGGCCCGAGTGTTTAAAGGCATGGACTACAAACCCACTTCTTCACACCATGTAGGTTTAACCCTCCCAGCGCCCTTCGGTTTTCCTTCATGTCAAAAAAAGCTAGCTACTGAACTTTTGGTGGCTCTTTTTTTTTTTTTTTTCCTTTTTCCCTTTTTTTTTTTTTTTCCTTTTCTTTTTTTTTCCCCCCCTTTTTTTTTTCCCCTTTTTTTTTTTCTTTTTTTTTTTTTTGTTTTTTTTTTTTTTTTTTTTTTTTTTTTTTTTTTTTTTTTTTTTATTTTGACCTGGGTTTCACGGGCTATAAAAATGATGAATGGCGGGGGGGCTGGGTAAAAAGATTTATTTTTATTTTATGTAATATTTATAGCTTACAAGAGTTGAGGTTCTGCCTGTACCCACATTGTTCTTTAATAAATCATGGGAATGCACCAGAGGTCTATTTCGTACAGTGTCATAAGGCCCTTTTTAACTGTTAATTTGAAAAATGCACCCCTTTTTCTGTCAGTAAAAGTCGAAATTTTTTTTATAAATCATTACCCATTGGTTGCATTTTTAGCATTATTTTTTGATTGACATAAGGGAAATACTCCCATGCAATGAAATTTGTAAATATAGTAAATAAATTGTTAATAAAATTGCAAAATTTTTTCTAGTGTCTTCTCTGACAAATTCCCCAAATCCCCTTATGAGGGAATCTTAACCCCTCTTTGCAATTCATCCCCTTTCCAGATTGGTCCCAAAACATATTTGGAAAATAGCTTTATCTTGCAAAAAAAAAGTCAATTACGTCAGGTGGTTTTTCCATAGCAATAAAATATTGCCCCCAACATAAAAAACTGTAAATATCAATTTTAACTTGTTGACGGGAGGAAAATCAAACTTGACTTTTGTTTTGATATTATATACTTGAATTCCATATATGAACACAATCACTGAAATTTAAGTTATTCTGCAGAAACCAATAATTTCACAGAAAATTTGCTAAAATGGGGGCATAATTCTACCAATAAGAAGATGATTGTAGACAAAATAGAAATTGACATGTGTTTTGATACAACATACTTGCATGCCAAATATAAACACAATTATAATAATTTTAGTAGTTTATTAATATTTTTAAAAAGTATCATGTGAAAAATCAATTGTTAACAGACAGACAAACAATGTAACCATAACAGCAATTAAATTTGTCTGGCAAATACTCTACAGAACGGAAGGGCTTCTGAAGTCTTCCTCCACCAGTAAAGCTGGATCTATACTGTCTCGGTATGATGTAAAATCTAAACAAACAGACTCTATTTGGGGAAGATTCCCAAAATTTTATATAAATGTATAGGCAACTTTAAAACTGATGTTCAGATGGCATTGTGGTTAACAAATATCATTGTACTTCATGTATAAATTTC